CGCCGATGACGTCGCAGCCCTCATTGCTGCACGCAACGTTGAGCTAGCCCAACTGAAACTGAACCAAGTCATGCGCGTTGTAAACGCCTGGATGACTGATCATGGTCTGACACTCGCTCTGAGCAAGACAGAGATCGTCATCCTCAAGAAAAAACGGATTGAAACCATCGTTCCGCTACGAGTTGGGAACGTAGTTGTCCAAACCACGCGAACCGCCAAGTACCTTGGTGTCATGGTGGACAACAAGCTGAGCTGGAGGGACCAGATCTTCCGTACGGCGGACAAGGCTGCTAGGAGTGTTGCTGCTCTTAGTAGGCTTATGGCCAATGTCGGTGGTCCCCGGTCCAGCCGTAGAAGACTACTGATGTCTGCAGTCCAGTCCGTGCTTCTCTATGGCTCTGAGGTGTGGGCAGACGCGCTTAACAAGGAGGCGTATAGGTTGAGGCTCGCACGAGTGCAGCGTCAGGCGGCACTCAGGGTCGCTTCCGCGTACCGTACGGTGTCCGAACCGGCCGTTTTGGTGATCGCTGGAGTTATCCCAGTCAAACTCTTGGCAGCGGAGAGGAAGGCAATCTACCAGGGACAAGGCTACATCGGAAAGGACGCTGCAAGAACAGAAGAGCGCTCCCGCACTTTTCAGATGTGGCAAGAAAGCTGGGAAAGGGAGACTCGAGGACGTTGGACTGCCAGACTCATCAGGCAGGTCCAACCGTGGGTAGAACGGCGGCACGGTGAGGTTGACTATTACCTCACGCAGTTCTTGCCAGGTCACGGCTATTTTCAGTCGTACCTGCACTTGATGGCCAAAACGAATTCACCTGACTGCATTTACTGCCCATGCATTCCCGACGACGCGGAACACACTTTTTTCCACTGTCCACAATGGGATATGCTTCGCCAGGAGGCCATTCAACATCTTGGGGTGCTGTCGATTGAATCGATCTGTGAGACCTTGCTGAAGGGTGAGGACAACTGGGACTGCTGGTCGCACTTTGTCCGGAATGTCCTTCAAGCTAAAAAGAATGATCTAGATCGGAACATAGTCTAGATTTGATAAGAAATAAACGGCTAGACACGGCGTAAGCCCCTCGGGCGTAGGCAAACTCGGCCTAGTTCTGATGAAGTGCGACAAGTGTTTCCAGGCTAGTGTCCGAAGAGTAGAGGAGGTTTTTAGTGGGTAGTCTCTGGGCCTTAAGCCCGTTGGAGTCCCACACTACAGGCTAGCAACCTGTGTGCATAAATGCATTTTCCCACCTCCCTAGAAAAAAAAAAAATTAATATTTTAATTAAAACACGCCTAATTACCCTCCTTGTAGCAGCAAACCTAGGTACTCGTTAAACAATGTTATTTAAATAGATTAAAATAACATGGCACTTTGAGTGCCATGTGAAGCCATAGTGGTCTCACACCTGGTAAGGACTCTCTTGCCCCGTGAGACCACGTTGGACTCACATGCTAGTTCTGGATAAACTGCCCTGTGAAGTAAACTTGGCTTCACAGAAGGCATTAAACCATATGTAGTCTTAAAATAATGGGCCAGAACGTCAAGAAACTGCATTTGGCCTGTGGTTCTGTGAAGCCAGTGTGGAGTCACAGGGCCACAAAAGTAAGAAGAACGAAAACTCAATGGTTTTCAAAAAGATAATTTATTATTACACTAAATATGGAAAAACAATTAAATTTAAACGTTAAAATAACAATAAAAATAAACTTGAAAAATATTTTAATTTTTAATTGTCGTTACTTAGAGATTTATTGCGAAAATGTCTCTCAAAAAATTGTCTCTTAGCCCAATAAAAACTACAATAAAAAAAAAGTAAACTTGAAATTTTTTTTTTTTAGTGTCTTTACTTACAGATTTATTGCAATAATTTCTCTCAAGAAATTGTCTGTCTCAGCTCAATGAAAACTACAATACCGGCATAGCCTTATGGACAAGAAAAAAACACTCCAAGCAGAAGTTCTTGTTGCATGCGTCGCACTTGAACTTTGACTGCGGAGTTTTCCTCATTGCATATGTTCTTCCTTCGTCTTTTGACAGGATTTCATAGCATCTGTGACATCTCCTTCTTGCACTTCTTCCAGTGTCCACCAGCTTGTGTTGACCGTCCTCTTGGGGCTCAGGACCAGGCGCAGGAACAATATTTACTCTGGTTAGTCCTTCAATAACTTGTTCTTTGAAGTCTGTGATGCTTATTTTCTTTTCTGAAAGTTTGTTAAAAACATGAAGAGCGTTAACTATATTGGTTTCGGTTAGCACTTCGAAAGCTAATTTTCTGTACCACTTATTACCTTTACGAAGCGATGAGTTGTACCCCTTGATTTGGTCAGATGTGTCTATAAAAGCCTTGCTTTTATTATAATCAAGGATACTTTTCGGCTTTTGGATGGTGTCATTTCGTCTTTGAATGGTTTCCATTTCATCAGTATGTTTTGTTGACAAGATTAGCACATCCCTCTTATCACGCCATTTTTGCACTACAATGCCTGTATCACTTTCTCGAGCAATTGTCTCTCCCTTTTCTAGTTTGGCCTTGGTAACGTCAGTCGGGTTATTCTTTCGGTTACTTTTGAGTGTCCCAAGCAGATGAGTTTTGCGTTTCAGTAGCTCATGTGCCAGTGCTACAGAAGTATACCAGTTGTCAGTGCATAGTGTTCGACCCTTGTCAAGCAAACTCGACATAAGTGACATGACAACTTTTGTTGCGACAGAAGATTTCCCCTTTTCCTTTCCACAATACACTCTAAAGTCATAAGTGTACCCACCTTGCACACATAGTTTGAATAACTTTATTCCAAAACGATGTCGTTTGTTTGGGATATACTGCTTGAATTTCAAGCGGCCTCTGAAGGGAACGAGAGTCTCATCAATACATACTGTCTCATCTGGCACAACAGCTTTCTTATAAATTTCCTTGACAATATCAAGTAGTGGAGTAATTTTACTAAGACGATCCGACAAATTTATGTTCTCGTTGTCATTGAAATGTAAGTTCTTGAGGATAAGTTGAAAACGATTTCGTGACATCAATTTCTTCATCTCATTGTTGTATATTTTTTTCGTAGACCAATAACTTTGTAGACTTGGGAACTTGCAGAGTCCCATCCACAAATAAATGCCAAAGAACTTTTCCAACTCTTGGATATTTGTGGATTTCCAGCGAGTTATCCTGGCATTTGGAGTTACACCCTTAGCAATGGTCTGCTCAGCATATCTGTTAGTCTGATCTGCAATATATTGCAGAAGTTCGTCACTTAAGAAGTATTTAAAAACTTCATAAGCAGTCTTGCCAGATAATTCTTCAATTACAGTCTGACTTAAACCGGGGTTTTGCTCAGAAAAAACAAAATGCTTCAAATTATCCCCGGTAACATTGTCCCATTTGATGCCTTCTACATCTGCATCTGGTGTAGAAAAGCCAATTTGCGCATCTGCTATGACTCTTTCAATGGTTTCTGTAATTGTGTCCCTTTCCTCTCTAGGCTCTATGTTATGTATTGCATAGTTGTGATCGCTATCTACAGCATTTCCTTCGTCTGAAGGTCTACTTATAGTTTCAGATAGATCAGTAGGATTTAGGTTAGGCCTACTCGATTTTGGTTGATTTGGTTCTATATTATGCTCTAGGACTATAGGGATCAGACCATCATAGTTAGCTTGGTCAATATCTAAGTTATCATCTAGGGCTAAAATGATCAGATCTGAATCATTATGGTTTTGTAAAACTTGATCAATTGTGTCACTGATAGAACCAATAGATGATGCTTTGGAAGTACTTGGAACAGATATATCCAAATCAGGTACGTCTATAATTTCTCTGTTAGTAGTAGGTTCTAGCTGTTTACCCTTGGAAATTCTCCTTTTCTTTTTAACATGTTTTTCTGCTTCTTCATCACTTGTAACATCACTTTCTGAGTGTGTTGGTTGATATTCATCAACTTCACGTAATTCTTCACTATCTGTTTCATCTTCGTCATCAGACATAAACTCCTGCCACAGTTTCATAACATGTTCATCTAAAGTTTTGTATCGTTTTGCCATTCTTTCACAATCAAATCACATCACTTTGTAACTGTGCACTGTATGATTCCAACCATAACCTCAAACAACAGTGGGAATAAACACAGTCAACATGTGTGGGATCGTCAATTTCCGTATGATATTGTGTAAATCCGTAAACGATCGGCAGAGCTCAGCTGATTATTGTGGTGCCACGTTGGATTCACAGGGCCCAGAGTTAGTCAAGTTATGTTTATGGCCTCGTGAGACCAATGTGGCACCACGTTCAAAGTGTGGTGACACATTGGTCTCACGTGGCCAGATATTACCAAAAGATCAATAATGGCCCAGTGGTACCAATGTGGTCTCACAAAATAAATGTTAAAAATTATGAATAAAAATTAATAATTATTCATAATTTTAGACTATAATTGATATTATAGTTAATAATGAACACAATTAGGCAAAAAATAAAAATGGGCCAAATGGAAAAGTTTTTTTTCTAGCATTGGGGCACTCAAAGTGTTAAGTACAAATCAAATCAGGTTATAGTCTGCACGTCTGCTGCAGCGAGGATATTTTCACTTTTATACAGTAGATATAGGCTGGAGACTCTTTCCCGATTTTCTAGATTTGCTCCTTGCCCCGTCACGAAGCAAAAATGGTTATTATTATTTTAATCGCAACACTCCCAATATTTTAAATTTTAATTGTATATTAGATATTGTTGAAATTCGATCACACGATAAAATAGTTTAACATAACAATTTTAAGTTAAATCTTGAATTAAACATATTAAATTTCAACGATGTGCTCTCGTGATTCATTGATCAAATTACTTTAAAATGTGTTACAGTTTTCCTGTTCATGTCAGATGGCCTTTAAAAACATCAGTCATAATAAATAACGGCAATTGGAAAGATCGTCAACGAGTGAGAGTCACATAAATTAGTTCACATCATACAATTACAGTAGTTTTACATTTGCCAGAAGCTGTGCTGTACTCTTGCAACATCATCCCATATTGTCGAGTATCTGCACACATGACACATCATGTACTTGATCAAGGTGATTCTCCTGCTTGTGATGTGTAAGTACATTTTATAAATGTATGTTTGTAATTTACGATTACTACATTAGCTTGACTAATATGGATTAAGATAAGTGATGTCGAATGCTAAATTTACTGCTAACCGGTTGAAACACAGTACTTTAATGACACCGGCTGTTTTATTGAACCTTAGAAGAGAGTTGAAAAACCTTAGAATACTTACTTCCTCAAAAAAGAATCAGAAGCGGAAACTATATTTTCACTCGTCTGTCTAAAACATGTTTATTTATACTATAAAACTTTTTTAATCTTTATTATTTATTTATATAACACAAAAATCATTCTATTTTTGGTAGAGTATATCAAAAGTTTTATATCTATATTTTTTCAAATGACCAGAAATTTAATTGGATTTTCCGCATAGGCTTAATAAGAACCCACAGCTTTTTAGCAAGGATATAAATAAATATCCCCAACGCGACAAACATGCACACTAAGCGAATTTAAATTTGTCAATCCCTAATTGGATTCATACTAAAACATTTCTAAGCAACACTGAGTTTCCATTGAAAAACATTTTGTTAGACGAGTACTTAGGTTTGCTTCCATTGCGCAGGTAAAAAGTGTTTTTTTCGACCAAATATTAATAATATAAGGTAATACATGGTCGATCTCCAAATTTTAGGCCTATACTAGGTAGTTCACCAACTTTTATGCAAGGTCATTCACCAATTGTTATACAAAGTTTTTCACCAATTGTTCTGCATTTAACATATATTTTAAACTGGGAAATCATTTTTTTTTTAATATCTTTAAAACTAAATGAGTAATGGATAAGGTTAAAAAATAAGTTCCTTTCAATTGTAATTTCTTAAAATAATACGCTATTTCACGTATAATGAATGCTATTTGGAATTTTTTTTATATTAGCGATGGAACTACGTAAGTGGTTTCTTGGGTTTGGTTTAGTGAACAATCTTCATTTCATTGTTAGTGAACCAATGGTTGGCCAACTTACGAGATTCGCCCTGCATTTAACATATATCATGAGTGGCTGGAAGTGAGTGGCCATAGCTAAAAGGCCGGACATACCCACATTCACACTCCCTACAAGATTTCAAAACTCATATAAATAGAATATTTAAATACCCCCGCTTTAGCAAACCGAAACTACGCGAATTTCCATTTTCCTGGATTGATTTTCAATTAATCTATTAAATTAACATTAATGTTTAACGAGTGCCTAGGTTAGCTGCTACAGGGAAATTAATAAAGTGTGTTTTTTTTTATTAAAGTGCCAATAGCTTAGTATGAGATCAATAAATCCGCCAAGTTTGATCAAAATATATCCATAAACAAGCCAACTTCAAAATTTTACAATATTCTCCATAAGAATAACATGGGAATTTTAAATTAATTTTTTTTTAAATTTATCCGTAATCAATCACCGTACTAAAACACTTTGATATACTAAATTATTTGTTTTTTAGCGAATGTAATAAGCTATTACCGTAGTACTCATGGTAAGACCTGGACCCGGGACCGATTGTTTTTTCGTTTTGCGGTCCCTAGAGGCCAAAAACACCATCCGTTCAAATTCATATATATATATATGTATATACAGTATATATATTTATTTATATATGTGTCCGTTAGCACGATAACTCGAGCAAAAACGATCCGATTTTGATGAAATTTGGTACAAACGTGTAAACCTACGTTTATTCGAACGAGTTCGCGAACCAGCATGATCGGACCATGGGGACGGGGGTTTATGGGGGGTTTTATGGGGTAAAAATGGGGTTTTCCCACTTTTGACTCATAAAACATAACATTTTGCAATTTCTTTCCAAACTATTTTGTAGAGCTTAAAAAAACAAATAATTTAGTATATTGAAGCGTTATAATGCGCCTAATGGTTACGGAGCAAATATCAAAAAGTTGTAAATTTAAAATTCCCATGTTATTCTTATGGAGAATAAGGCCCAGCGCACACGGTGTGACTGTTTTGAGAGCAACCGTTGCAAACCCGTTGCGACTGAAACCAGTTTGCAACTGAAAAAGAGCTTCTGTCCGCACACGGTGCAACTGTGTTACAACTACAGTTGCGTATATTCTGCAATCAGTGGAGTGTTATATTGTAAGTGCAGTGACGTTGTTTTTAAGGCCTTCCTTGTTTTTAAGTGTTTTTAAGTACAATAACAATGTCAGACTTAGACGAAGAAGACGTTATTAGTTATTAGGAATACAGAAAGCACCGTAGGGTACAGAGGGAACATTGGGTTCACCCTTATTTGAGAAATAACGTCAGGCGTAGGCTGTTTGTAGCAGCTAGAGAGTTGTCACAGTCGGATAGGAAATTTAAATCTTTTTACAGAATGACAAAAGACACCTTTTTGGAACTTATCTTTCCTTGAATATCCTGGCAGTTTGTAGTTGTACAGAACTTCATGTTTCTCCACTTCTCCAACGAGCTTCAAGTTGAATTCTTGATCATTCATTTTGAGATGAACACTATACGGCCGTCAAAATAACAACAAATTTCCACCAAACACCACAAAAACACCCCGTGGTTTCGTGCAACTGGTTGCTGCAACGTCGGGCCCAACGTTGCATGTGACTGGTTTCAAACTTTTTTGAAAATCGCAAACGACCAGTTGCGTCGTGTGCGGCTCCCCACTGCAATACATTGCCGATGTTGCAAAACAGTTGCAAGCGCAACTGGTTTGCAACGACAGTTGTAAAACAGTCACACCGTGTGCGCTCGGCCTAAGTAAACTGTAGTAGTTTGCTTGTTTATTAACATTTTTTGCCCAAATTTGGAAAATGTTTTTATTTCTTACTAACTATTAACATTTTACATAAAAAACACTTTTACCCTCCCTGTAGCAGCAAACCTAAGTATGTGTTAAACTGATTCTATTTAAATAGGGAATAAATATGATATTTTTAAGGAGACATTTTAGTGTAAATCCAATCAGGCAAATGGAAATTCGCTTAGTCTGCAGGTTTGCTGCGGCGGGGGTACTAAGCTCTTTAAAAAGGTATGGAGAAAATTGATAAATTTTGTGGTTTAAGGGTAAAAATATGAGAAAACCTAATTCCCCCCCTCCCATAAATCCCCCATGATGATGCATAGCCTATATTGAAACGCATTGTCCAATATAGGAGCAGAAGAATCACGTGGCAGTTACAGGCATTGAAACTCAAGTCGCTTACACTTCTGTAGTCGAGTTAAGCTATTGGCAATGCTAGAATAGTTCAATATTTAGAATTACCTTGAGGCTAAAAACTTACCAATACGCATCACTATTGTGTGTAAATGTCTGAGTTGTATTTTAGAAGTGTAAACAACAGAAGTTTATAACGGTTATGTTTCAGGCGCTTTCTGTGAGGCTCTCTTCAACCGTTATGTCGAATGTGGTTTGGGATACTACAACTCAGGTGGTTCAGGGAAGAGAGGTTCACGCTGCATGGAGTGCACATCTTGGTCTAAAAACCCGAAAAAAACCTTCTTTTTATGTAAGGAAGAAGACCTCAATTGCCGAAAACTCTTCAGTGATGGCAAATTGGTTTACACTTATTGTACCACGCAAAAGGTATGAGCTGTAAACATGTCTGACCAATAAATAAACAAAAGAAATTCATATTTACTATAACCATACGTTTATATTCTTTCATAATGTTTATTCAAAAGCAAGTACACTTGAGTTGTGTCAGATTATTAACTTGAACTAGTGTCCAGCTGTATTTTGTTGGTTATTTATCTATTTCAGATCATCACCGGGGGACCGAGTCTTAATTTGTTGTGGTTAATTGGGTTTATGGTTTAACACACTTTACAGAGCTTTAAATAACATCATAAACGGGCACACTTTATAGTCTACAAAACTCATTTTATTACAAACCATAAACAATAGCTAAACTTATATGAAGACTGTTGTTAAACTATGAAGTACATGGACATAGAAATATAAAAGATTTTAATTAAGTTAACAAAATTAACTCGTACAGCATTTGTCTTCCCTTTGGTCATTGAAACCTGTTAGCTCTTCACGATCAGAGAAACAAGCAGATGAAAAATATAAATAGACAAAATCTAATTGGACTCAAAATGGTAATCTTTACATTGCATCATGTAACCCAATGTCTTATTTTCACCGTGGTTTATTTCATGACGAAGATTTTTCACTTTTGCGGTAATACTTCGATAGTTATATCCTTATTTTGTATAGGGGTTTGGCATAATATTGTTATGCGTATTGAATAGCCCGGATATAATTCATTTACTCTAAATATTTTTGTGATAAGTTGTAATCTCTTTCTACTTCTACATTTTGTTCTAATCTAAATCCCCACAAGTCCAATGCTATGGCTTTTAGTAGCCAATGTGTTTTTCAATAACATTCTAGGCTCCCTGTGGTACTGTTCCACCAATAAATTTGTTAGCTCCAACATTCTCTAAACCTAAAATTCCAACTGAATCCCCCTCTAGAATTGTAAATTAATATTGTTAGAAAATCCACGAACTAAAGGCATTGCTCATCAAATCATAATGTTAAGATCTCTTATGAGTTAAGCAAGTTGAAGTTAGCCGAATAGGAAAGGTAAATTAACACCTGTTTAGAATTTCTTTTCTAAAGCCTGTAATTTTCTTTTCAAATATGATTTACAATTATAATTCTTAAGCTTGCCAACGGTTAACGAATACTGAAAGAAATGTTTAACTACTTTCAATGACAGTGACACCAGATATCACATGGATAATGATTTTGGCAATAATTAATTGATATATCGGTCGTTAAGTTATTGCGCATATGAAAAATCAGCTGACTAACCACACGAAATCAGCTGTTACTTTAGTCTTTGCCCGCAATATAATGTTTATCATTGTAATAGATAACCTATGACATTCCCTGTTCAAGGATGGAAAATTTCATTCTACGAATGGTAATAGAATTCGCATAATTTCAATTTAGAATTTTCTGTTCGATTCCCCAATAAAATATCATAGTTACTCCCACCGTTTACCCAATGATAAGTGGTGTTGACAAGCTAATGGGAGAAAGTATGGGCACAGTATGATTACATATTACGACCCGTTTATGCGTTAGTAACTATAATGGTACAGTAAAAGGTTCACGTAGCAGAAGATTCTGTAGCAGAATTATCTGCTTTCAATGCATGCGTTGTGTCGAAAATAGCTAATTTTCTACCCGAGGCAAAAGAGTCAGCTGGAGTTCAGTACGTCAGCTGTACATGTTTATAATTTATAGCTGCAAAGTTTGTCCTCTGATTTCGCAAAAAGAAAATAGTGCCGATCAACAAATAAATTATCGTTTAGTTTTTACCCGACTAGATCTTTTAGGCTACACAAAATACAAAGTGAATTGTGTTTATTTATTTATTTACTAACGGCAATACACCAATTTACATAGATCATTGGTTGACAGCTAACAACAGAAAAATGCCTGTGGTTTGAGTCCGGGTTCAATAATAATATTATAAAATTTATAACAATAACAAATAATAAATAATGAAATAGTTAACAATAATGTATTATGCAATGCCTAATAATAATAATTATATAGCCTACAACATATAAATTGATCATTACAACAACAATGTTCGCTCTATAGTTCACCGTGTGTCTTCAAATAATAATCCACAGCCAACTGTATCTGACACGACCTTCACAGCTCATCAGCCACGGCCTTCGATTAGACAGTCGTTACTCTATAGTCTTTGCATCACCGCAACCCACGATATTGGCTTTGAGAGTTCATATACTGTACTAGTGTTTGCTCTAAGTTCACAGTGTGTCTACAATATCAACAGCCACCGTTTAAGTTTTCTATCTATAGTAGAACCCTGTAGAACCACCGAATATCCATTTAGACTCGCTGTATTATCATACAATTAAGAAATCAAGTCTAAACCCTCAATTTCCAACTTCTTTTTCATTTACAAGCAAAATCAAGTTATGTGGCACTTTTGTGGTGCAACAAATTTCGCTCAGCCAGAGCCAAGTTGCCTCAAGTTACCTAACTGATGTATTCAATGAGCAGACTATACGTAACACGGACAGTAATACCATTTACACTAATTATCCTACTGGCCCACATGACACAGGTTTCTCCTTACGGTCCGTTCTCAGTTCGGTTGTCAACTAAAATTCTTTTAACGGAATTTTTTGTTGGTAAGTTCATGTTATTTGGAGGATTATTGAGGGCAGCTTTCTTTATACGATGACAAAGTACTTCAAACATATCAAGATAACCTGAAGACGGAATCAGATTTCAGATACCAAAATACCATTGTTTAGGCCTACTTATGGAAGTCCACGATAAACTCTAAAATGACATTTTTCAAAAATTGTATTAAATACGATTTGGGTGGACTTAACTTGTTGGTAAATTATCCGGTTAATTAATAATCCTTGTTTTAATTAATTATTAATTTATGTATGATTAATCCTCCACTAGCTTTATGGCTAATTCTGGACACCTGTATAGGTGTTTAAGGAAGTTATTTTGTTAAATTTTAGTGAATTTCCCAAACGTGAAATACACTAAATAAACCATTACCGTTGGTCTCACAGCAAGACCTAGTCCCGAAACAGATTTACTTCTTCATTTCGAGGTCACTATTGGACAAAAACACCATCCGTTCAAATCAGGTTAAGAGAAATTCGCTTAGTCCTGGCTAGTCTGCAGGGTTGCTGTGGCACGGGTTTTACGTCCTTAGAATTATTTACTCTAAGGGGGAATTTATAAGTGACTAACATCACCAATTTATTGAATAACATCATATTGATTGACCGAGTCTTGGTCAAGAAAGTACATCGTATAATTGTATATGGCACATTATAATTTATATTTAAAATACACCAGAATGCACACTGCACTCTATTAAATCATATATCTTAAACAGCTTTAAAAGAGAATACTTCACGTAATGCTAAGCAAGTGGTACGTCGCAAGTCGTAAGGGTTGGTTGTTGGCTGGGTGGTGATAAGAAGAGTGTAAACTGAAGATTCCCTCGGGATTAAGTCGCTCCGATTCACCACCGTAAACCCGACATCAACGCCGGTTTATCTCGCTTTCATTCTGATTCTGATTCGTCACTTGCTCGCATCGATCCGACGTCCTCATCTCCACGTGTCAAAGCTGTACCGACTGTCACGACGTCTATATCGCGGTGTACGAGGGACCCTACATGCGTGTTCACATATAGAAGAGGGTTTCAAAACATATTTATTTGGATTAAATATTCTTACCATCGATGAAAATACATCCCTGCAAAAATTGTTGGAGGTTGAAACTTGTCCGTACCAGTTAATAGGTGTTACTGTGAAAATTGTGTTATATTCAATTTTCGAACACGAATTGAAAATATATTTCAAATATACATAGCAACATTCAAACCAATTGTGGAATCTCGATAACAAATCACCCTTGATAAAAAGTCATTTTAAAATCTCCTTGAATTTATTTTGCCCCTAATTACATATATTTACAAACCATGATGATTAGTTTTATTGAATAATCACCATGAGAATCAATATTGTTATCAAGGTTCTGCTGTACCTTATTTGTTAGTTCATCCACTGATGAATTCGATTGAGCCATTGCTCAATATTAGAGTAATCTTATCAACCCCCGGTATCATTTTCACCTTTTTGATCAGTTGCAATTTTAAGTCTTGGTAAATCAGTACAGCAAGTACAAAACATAAGAGAAACGTTAAATAAAAGAACATAAGTTGCTATGAAATTGGTCATCTATCTTCCTTCAGAACTATTTATTTTATCAACTGTCCGTGATAAGAAATTATTATAGTAGTCTAGCTAAATTTCCCAAGCGCCGAGACATTTTCCAGGTGCGCTCCCAGTTATGATCCAAGTTGTACGGAACTGAGTAAATTAATTTCCATACATATTGGCACACCAAAGTTGGCCCACTTTAAATGTTAATTCCCAAGGCTCATCTCAGACTCAATCCGGTGGCGAAAAAGTGACAATTCCCTCAAAGTTAACTTTCGCAATTGTTTTCGATTCCAATTTGAATATTCAAGCTAATTTAACTCTGATTCTATATCGCCAATAAGTTTAGCCAAGGACAAGGAAAAGAGTACTGTGGTGTGATGATGAGGGATCTCAATTTCCCCGAAGATTACGAGCTTATTAAGTTCCTGATGTTTTTTATGATGCTGTATGGATAATATTATTAATCTCACAATAAGAACAATTATTACCATGAATTATTACCACTATTCTCTTATAGGAAGGTACATAATTAAATCAATCTATATATGTAATACGCTAAGCCGATTTTTGTAAACAGAACTCCTCCCTCATTTTTTGACCGATTTTGATGATTAAAGTGTCAAATGAATGGCCCTGATCTGTAGTTTTGCAAAGTCTTTTTCGTTTTTTGAAATCTTTATTAGTTTGGGCAGGATCTTCCATCAAAGTTGGATTTTCTCCCATAAGATTAACATGGGGGAATCTAAATATTTAATTGGAAACTTTGTCTCCATTAATTTGAGAGAACGACTGGGCGTAGAAACTTGGTAGAGGTGTCCAAAGAAAGGTCTTGGTCTCTAGATGAGTTACCAAAAGAAAAACTAAGTGAATCCCGTTAGGGCTCTGCCCCAG